CTTAATTGGCATCAAAATTCATTAAATGTGATTATCGTGGCGTTTAAAGATATTGTAATAAAAAGAAAAGTGTATGAAAGCAATTTAATCAGATATATTATATGACATATAACTGTTTCTGCGTGTTTGTGCGGAACTGCTTCCGGTTGATCGTAAAGCTTATGTTTGGAAAAAAAGTCTGAGGCAGAGAAAAAGCTAGAGAATGGGGAAAATACAAATTTTAACAAAAGTGGCTGGAAAACGAGGAATTCGGGACATGGCTGCAGCCTGTCAATGGTAAAGATGAAGGACTGTGCTGTGTTTTATTTATATATATATATATATATATATATATATATATATATATATATATATATATAAATATAAATAATCAGTCATGGGTACTTGTTTATTGCATTAAAATTATTTCTAAGAGCATTAATAAGCATTAAATTAGAGTTCCTCATTCCTGTATAAACCCTGCGGTACTCATGCTGGTCTAGAGCAATTCACCATTAGGCACTGCCTGTAGCAACAACCATTGGATTTTCTTAATTATAACTTGTTAAGGATCCATTATTTTTCTGAAACACAACAGATCCTTGGCAGAAACGGTAGAGTTTGTTAGCGTCATCAGAGCAAAGACACAGACAGCAGGCTGATTGTGGGTGAAACTGATTCAAAGTTATGCCGAGAGTCGTGTTGCTATTTTTGTATCAAAGTGATGGAGCAGCTGCCTGACCCAGAGCGCAGAGGAAAATTCAGACTCCATATTTTCCCGTCTCTACCTGTGGCAGGCCAAGCAGTTTGTATTTTACTGTAGCAACTCATTAAAATCCAATAAGCTGTCCAGCAGACAAACCATTTTAGGGGAACCTGGGACTGCGTTATTTCACAACTATGTACAAGTTGAATGTAAAAAGTAATGGAAAAGATTCACTTATCTTAAATATCAATGCTATTTTTTTCTAATAACAGCTCTTAAAAATCTTTACTAAAGTTCATACTTGAAGGGTTCAAAGTTTGTATTAAGTTGATGATATTTAGCAAACAGTGCTCGTTTGACTTTAATGGAAATTAGTTTAGTGATCTCTTAGAAGAAGGATTTATGGCCTAATCTTATGAGAGAGGGAATAGAAGGAGGATTTCTGCTGTGACTCCAATCGTTCCTTACTGACTGCTCTCAGGGGCTCTTTGAGATGTTTGCGCTGTTTGAAACACTGTGAAGGTCGCTGTGATTCAGGGTTTCATCTGTTTAGTTCACCATGAAGCAAGTTGCAGATAGGGAGAGAATTTTAGTTTTATACGATAACTACGTGGCACTAAGCACAAGGTGCAGAGGTAAAACCGCAATCTTCTACAGTACAGTACTTTTTACTTGATGCAATGAAATATATAGTTGACAAACCCAGATGGGGAAGATGGAATAGGCTCGTCACAGTTGGATAGGCAGTTCTTTTCTTAAGGTTAAGACCTTGTGAGTTTGAACTCAGCCCTTAGTGGTAGTGTTTGCTTTTGGATGAGATGAAGTCAAGAAGGCAGATCAACCAATCAGAGGTGACCAGTAAAAAAAAAAAGGATTCTGTTACACCCCATTCTTTAAACTGAGAGAGCTCTCTAAGAACTTCAAAGAGCTGCTACCTAATATTTTAGACATAACTCAGACGCTTTTCTCAAAAAACACTTAGAAATAATCAATATTTGCATTTCTGAATTTAAAAACCATATGAAAAGGTAATTTATATTAGGTTTAAAAGGAAAAAAAGATCTAGATCATATTAAGAGGAAAATTGAAGGTATGTTGAATGCCCTTTTTAAAAAGGAGTCACAAAACCTGCCTATTCTGTGGAATAGTTTATAGTCCGGATAAGTTATTCTAAGGGAACATGGATAAAGGCAGTACTTGTTTGTGAAAGATTAAATCTGAGATGGTTGTTTGAACTTTAGCACTCTATTAATTTACTTACAAACTGCCATCATATGAAAGTCAGCTTTTTCCTGATGACTAGCAGTACAGATGGTTCCCCTTCAACAAAACAACTAGGGGAAAGAGGCGAATTAAGGTGTAAGTAATTTTTTTTAGGCTTTCTCAGTCCCTTAAGAAAACAAAAACATCACAAGGCGCTTGTCCCTCCGGAGAAAATCCTTGTTACTGAATAAACTCTTGTAAAGAGATCTTGCCTCTTATCAAGATCTTCGCCAACAGTCAAGATCATGAGGCCAGATTGATTTGAAAGGACTCACTGAGCGTCTGCCCGCAGCTGAAGTGGTGTTTTTGTTGTTCTGTTTTTATTACCGTTAAAACTGGATTTCCTCGGACCATATTCCCCTGGTGAAAGGTTTGTTTTTCATCTGACAGTATTATGAGACACTTTTAGAACACTGGTCCTTTTGTTGTCACTGGAAGAGATGATAAAGTTTAGAAAACAAGATCAAGCAACCGGCATCTTACACGACAAAGGTATGACATCTGGGAGATCAAGACAATAAAAGGGCATAAAGACCAGAAGAGGCAGCCCAGTGTTGTCTGAGGGCGCTCAGAGGTCACTGATGTGGGATCATGGCTGTACTCTCAGAGCCGACTGATCATTGATGCTTCTCTAAATGTCAAAGCTCTTAATAGCAGAAGTTGTTTTTTTCCTAAGAATTATATGTCCTTTACTATATTATATAGTGGCATTAAAATGCAACTTTAAACATACAGCATTCTCAGTCTGCTGGTGTGGCCCAAAAATTCACTGACTGTTTTTGGAAAATAAACCAACTTAGGAGCTAAAATTATTGTGCAGATCCATTTCTTCCATTTTGTTCTATGCTAAAATTTTGGCTCAGTCATCGTGACAGAACAGATTTAAGGTTTTTACCTTAGTCGCACAAATTGTCTGTGGGAGTGAGATCTAGACTTTTACTTTGTTGTTCTTAAGCCTCTTTGAACTTAATTTGGTACTAGGATTGGTGTTATTGCTAATTTTCAACACCTATTGGTGCCTTAGCTATAAGTTCCTGGCTTAACTTTTTCATGTCATCTTGTATCCTGGTGATGGCATTAATTTCTGAAGTGGACCGGTGCTTCTCACAGGAACCAACACCCCCCTGACACCTCTTTATTTTATGATTAGAATAATGTTCTCAGGCTTGAATAAGCTTTTCCCTTTTTTTCTACCAACACTTTAAACTCTTCAACTTTAGTTGCATCACATTTCAATGTCTTCAAAAGTGTTTTATTATTATTATTTTTTTTTTTGTGAGGACATTTAAAAAAATTTATAATGCTTGTTGAATCTTGGTTTGTTCCTTGCTGAGCGGGATTTCAGTTCATTTTGGTATAGGACATATTTTAGTCGGGGTGATGGACATGGACTGTGTTCAGGAGTTGATTTGCAGATTTGGCACCAACATGCGTCTTTCTCTAAAGCTAGTTATGCACTGTACAATTTTTTTTTTTTTTGCCCTTTTTGGGACGATCCTTCAGTGTTGAGAGAATCTTTTGGATTGGACCAAGTTTCAGCCTCATGGTGCGTCCTGCGTCGTGTAATATACAGGGGTAAACGAGTGGGGTGATCAGCCTCTCACGACCACCTCCCGATCAGGGATCGTAAGCTAGGGATAAAAATCAAACTTGTTTGAAATTCATTCAGCCCTTGTGAGGTGTCCATGAGCAAATCCTAATGTTGAAGAAGAGCTACGAGCAGATTTACCAGAACCTCATGCACTGCGCATGTGCAAACAAGGGAGTTCTTCATCTTCCAGATTGGCGAGTATGACCAGCACCATCTCTTGGTGTCTCATGAGTCTGACATGTGGTTTCTGGACATGAAGTGTGAGCAGGTTGATCGCATCAGAGCGTCGGGCCTTAAGGGCTGGTTATACTCCTGCAGGTATGACGCAGACGTATTTGATTTATGCTCAATATTGTAGCGTGGTCTGCACTATGTTTATTCCATGCCACAGCGCAAAAGGGGAAAAATCGCAAACCAGCTGGGTCTAGATACGGCAGAGGCGGTGAGGAAGTGGGGGCAACTTTGTCCGACAATGTAGGGACATGTGGACGAAAAAGAGCGGGGGTCCAGGTGGAAAGAGTCCCAGCGTTCTCGTGCACCTCGCTCTTCTAGCTGTTCCAACTTCACGACTCGTTTTCCGCAATCGCGGTAATACAAACGTAACAAGCCGGTAAGGCACCAAACAGGAGACGCATAGTGTAGAGCGGATGTAGATTTGACCAATCAGAGGCCTCCTGTTTGGGGCACTGTCTGCGGTCACCTATAATTTGGGAGAGGTGCAGCAGAGTGTCTGCGGAAGGGGCGGTGACGTCTTTGCATTCACCACGACAGCTAAGCAAATGATCTAGTTTTGAAGTATAAATCAGCCTTTACAGTGTAAGAACATACATCGTGAGCTGTGAATTTTAAACCATGCAGTTTCAGTTTGATCTGTAGGTTAGTACAACGATTGAAAATATCGTACAGTGTGTACCCAGCCTAAGACAGAATCTGTCTGCTTACTGAATGGTGTGATCAATAAACATTCTTAGGATGCATACCTACAAAATGTGTCTTGAGCATCTGGTGTCTGTAATTTGTATCCAAGAAACAATCAGACTTGTTCAGATCTGAATTACTTTCCTGATATCTCTGAAATCTCCTGATTTCTTTTGAAGATCCAGTGAAAGAGATGTGTTTTCATTTAACCTAATTGTTGTCAATTATTCAATCAGAAGTTTAAAAAGTCACGAAGCGGATCATCTTGACACTTTAGTTGTTATTTGTTATCATTGTTATTTCAGTTACCGGTATTAAAAACACAAAAAACTTGTTAGTCTGGCCTTTATTAAATAAACAGAATGATGGTAATCTTGAATGTCCTAAAACTGAATATATTTAATGTGACTAGATAATGAAGAAAAGAGAAAAAAAATTGTATTTTTCAAAGAGTAAATGAATAACCATGTGATAAAGAATGCAGGTACAAATTAAATTAATTTGATTATGACCTCTGACTAATTTTTCTGACCTTTTTCACAGGAACTGGAGAGGGTGACAGCATTACAGACCAATCTCCAGCTGGCAGCAGTCATTTGCACCAACGCAAGAAGGTAATGATATACTGTGACATGATACCCATTGACCAACTGAAAGTAACTTCTTACAGAAACTGCTTCTGAAAACATAATCCTAACTGTATAATGGTGGTGATTTGGCTTTATATATATTCATATATGTTCTCTGTCCGCCCAAATGGATGTTTTAGAGAACATTAAGAAATGTGATACACAGGATAGCAGGATGATGTTCAGTGTAAGACAAGTTTTTGCTGCCAACTGCTTTGTAGCTAACAAGCTGACATCCTGCTTTAAAATGGTACTCATATAAATACTTACATAAGGTTGAATAAAAACAATCATTTTGCTTCCACTGGATATTTCCTCTGTATCTGTGACAAAAACTTACAGTATACATTTTGTGTTCCTACTATCGTGATATATATATTTTCTGAATATTAAAAAATAAATGGACTAAGAATAAACAGGATGAAAGGCGATTTAACAAAACAAAACACCCTGCCTCCAGAACAGAAATTTACCATTTAATATAATGCTTCTCTTCATTTTTAGGTCTCTATGTCTTCATGAAAAAGAAATAATTTATAGCTTTTATTTGTGTCTTAACCACAGGTTCCAGTGATTGTGAAGGACACTGTAGATATATACCAACTTTTAGACTGTTGCTTTGCCTTTTTTTCCCCTGTTGCATATTTGTAAATATAATGCTTTATACATTATTAAACGTGGTCAAACTCACCATGGGGCTTCTCTTGTGTAGACAACTCAGAGTTGCAAAGGAGGAGTTCACAGAGGCCAGCCTGGGTCTGTTAGCCAATCAGAGGAGGCGACAGCTGCTGACAGGCCTGCTTAAGTCTCTAAGGACCATCAAGACTCTGGTAATGTTAACACCTCACTAAAACGTCTACAGTCTCTCCAATGTCAGTCGTTTTATGTGTTTTGTACAGTTACAGTCAACATTTCTGTTATTTGTTAATAATTTATGTTAAATGTTATTAGGGGATGGAATGTGTGAAATACAGTGCATTACATTTGGGCTAATATAAAATTCTAATAGTTTTTTCTTAAAGTTTTTAAACAAAATATATAGCAGAGTCTGTAATTAGTCCCATTGTTTTTATAATAAGAGCTGCTGATCCTTAATTCTTATAATATTGCTATAACTATTTGGCTACTTTTGATTATGCTAAATGTAATTAAGCAAACATGTAGGGAATTAATCCGCTATATTAAGTAGAACTTTAAAACAAAGAGTTTTATTATACAGAGTATCCCATTGTGTTCCTCTGTTCTTTATAAAATAAAACAGTTATAATAGCTGGTTGATTCATGAAGCCTGCCTACAGTCGTCTGATAAACTGACAAGCTGCTCTGAGCTAAAAGCGTACATTTTTAAACACTTCTGTTGTTGTTGTTTTTTTTTTTTTTCCCCCCAACTTTTTTGCAATCAGAAATATTTCCATAGGTCGGATTATGTTTTCCTCTCATCAATTTGAGAAGGGTAGTATCCTCTCTTCCTCCAGCTGAGCTGCAGTGTGCAGCAACAAGTCGGTGGCAGTTCTCTATGCTCTAAACAGCTTATGAAAGTAAGGTCCTGTCCAAAGGGTTTTATTGAGATGGATTTAAATCACTTTCTTTAGCTTATAACACTACAACTTTTAAAAGCTTTGATACCTGTAACCGACCCATACACGACCTTATGTAGCGCCTAGTATTGCATACATTTTCTCATTTTGAAGGTAAGATTTGATCTGTGAATGATGTTAATTTAAAGTTTTTTTAATGTATTTATTCCCTGATTATCTGTCTAAGCTACAATGTTCATCATATTAAGACCTGTAGAACAAACTATCTCTGAGCTTGTAATTATGCACTGATTTGTATTATTTTCATATCCTTTTTTTTCTTTTCCTCACCTTACAGCAAAGAACAGATGTAAGACTCAGCGAGATGCTTGAGGTAATATAATCCCCGCAAATGCTTACAGAAATGTTCATAAAAGACTTAAAAGGTCAAACATCAGCAGGCATTCGGCTCTGAAAGCACCACCAACGCAAATACTAGATTATCTGGTGAATGCCTATCCATCACGAAGGTCAGATGCTGTGTGTGGAATGGATTTGACAATTACTGCACTGCCCAAGGTTACCCGGATGGTGTCCGCTGTGTCGACTATTTTTAGATAAACAATATTCCTTTAGGTCAGGAAGCTAATACAAAGAGAAGGGCAAACATATCAATGCTGCGAACTACCCTTAATGCTATTTATATTCAAAGTTTTAGTAGTAGGAAGCATTCCACTGAGATGGAAAATACATTAAATGACCTCATTGCTCTGCTTCTTCAGGAGGAAGACTATCCAGGTGCAATCCAGCTCTGTCTAGAATGTCAAAAGGCTGCCAGCACCTTCAAGCACTACAGCTGCATCAGGTACAGTATGGGCAAACTGATCCAGAGGTTTAGCTGAGTCCAGGCTAGGGAAAACCATCTGACTTGTTGTTTTGGCTTGGAGAGCATTTTATGATGGAAATATGATCTCTGAGTTTTTTGAGTGGATAAATCAGGTTTCACTTCTGCTGAGACACTGCACATATGTCTTGTTTTTATTTCTAAATCGTATTTCCCCTGATAAAAACAGATCGAAGAGCGCCAGGCGTTTTTGTTTTTTAACCCTCCTTTCTCAAGGTTGGAATCTAATTGATCTGCTTGGAGACTTATTTCCTGTTTTTTGGCTCATTTCCATTTCCTTGTGGTTGCTAGGTTGCTTCTCTCTTTATGTAAAGGGCTCATATTGTTTAAAAGGGTTTACTTCTACTGCATAAATATTCCTACACCTTGACCTTTATCGCATTTTGTTAAATTGCTAACACACTTCATAATGCATGTAAATTTTATTTTATTGGCCAGATTAACACAAAGTATGCATGCAAGAAAAAATGGGTATGCAGTCAAGATCTCCAGAATCCAACTAATGGCTTCTTTATTTGACTGAGATGTGTTAAAGGAAAGAGTCATCTGAAAGGTGCAGGACACCAGACCCCGAGAACAGGAAATGAAGACCCATGCCTTGGAGCTTTGTTTAAATATTAGTGAACAAGCAGCATCATGAAGACTAAGAAACGCTGCAAGAGAAAGGTCAGGGATCTTTATCGATGAGTGGGAAAAAAAAATGTATGGCTTTTGTTTTTTTTTTCTTTTAGGCCCAACAGTACTCCTCTTTAAAATTTCCTAAAAGCCATGTAGGGTACAAAGCAAATGTATGGAAAAAGCTGCAGTGGGCAGATGCAACCATAACTGACTGTTCTCCACCAGTTTTGCACCGTTTAGTCATGACTCGGCTACAACTCACAAGTCCTATTCGTGAGTTATTAGCAGGGCTTTCTATAACCAGCAAAGGAAGCGTTTAAGCAGTTTAATTCAGGTTATGGAGCTTTGGCAAACCTGGAATTGGACTTTAATGGCAGGAGTGCTGACCTCATTCATCCTCATTCAACGACCCACTATGCTGAAGCCTTGTGTTTGCAGCATCATGCTGTAGGGACAACCAGGGTAAGAGAAGCTGATCAAGTGTTGATGGTGAGGTGGATGAAGCTTATTAGACTCAAAAATATGAAGAAAACTTGTTAGATGGTGCAAAATGAGACTGGGTTGGCCCTTCCAGCAGAACAGTGACTAAGCATACAGCTACAGATAAAATGGATCTGAATTAATTCATGTCTGAAAATGGCCTAACTCCACGGAGGAATCTGAGTGATTTGCTTCTTGGCTGTTGTTTCCATCAAACGTGATGCAGGTTTGACTTTTTGTAAAGAACAACAGGCTGATTTTTTTTCAGATTTTGACTTGCACAACAAATTTAAAACCATGCGTCATATTCCTTTAACTGTTCCAGTTATTGAGCAGCTTCTGTTTTGTGCATAACAAACTAGAAATATATTTATGTTTGTAATTTCAATACATTTCAATTTTATTTTACTGAAATAAGTTTCCATGGCTGTAAATAGTTTTGCAAAGCATGTAAAGTTGTAGCTAGAGGACTGTGAATACTGTCTCCCTGCAGCCGCTGTTTACTTCTGAGACAAGATGGCCTGTTTGGTATACATCTGGCAGCTTCCACGTTAAGCATATTACTGCTTATCCCCAATGGAGAAAACATCCAATTACAAGATTTAGAGACTCTGGCAGGCACCCAGTGAGCTATGACATACAGATGGTTAAATAGTGAGACAAGTCAATGGAAAGGTAACTAAAGGAAATGATTAGATCACAGGAGACATACCAGCACATGTGAAAAATTGTACTGATCTCACAGATTTTTTAAATATCCACCCCAAGACAGATAAGGAAATATGCTGGGGTATCAGAGCCTCAACATATCGGTCAGTTTCTTGACTTTTCTGACTGCTTTCAAATTTTACAATAACTAATGTTCTGTTTACAGCAATGCTGTATTGTAGCTGCTATCAAGTCCAAATAAATCAAAAAGGTAGAATATAAGTTAAGATGATTTTTTTTTTAATGCATCCATTTTATTTATGCTGTTTTGACTAACGTTGAGTAGGCAACTCTTTACAAGCAGTGCTTTGAAACTTAAAATGTATGTTAAGAGGGTCTATTTCTAAGTAAGTATTTGAAATTTGAAAAAGATAACTTAAAAAAACAAACAAAAACACCCCCCTTTTATTTTGGGGCCCCCCCGAGTCTTTTGTTGTATTATGATAAAAGGTCTTGTAACAGTAGGTGACTATTTCAATCACCTTCTCTTTATGTAAATTAGACAAAGCTGATCCACAACATATTATTTTATGCATATGGCTGATGTGGTGCTAATGTCTTTTACTGACGAGAGAGAAAGAAAAACTTGGACTTTATGGACTAATGCCTTGGTTAAATGAGTGGGTAGATAAAAATGTGCCCTGACTGGCATTGCCAATCTTTCAGCTTGAAAATCCATTAATTAAGTTAAAGTGTTTATTGTTAGGAACTGCTGGGGTGCTAGGTAAATCCTTGAACACCAGTCGGCCTCGGCAGATGGCCGCTCATGCTGAGCCATCTTCTGCTGGAGGTTTCTTCCTGTTCAAAGGGAGTTTTTTCTCTCCACTGTTGCTACAAGCATGCTTCGTGTGAGGGATTACCTTTGAGTCACTGAGTTGATGCTGTCAACTGGTTAAACGTTGAATCAATCTGACTGCATGATCTGGTTGAATTGTCTCTGTAAAGTGCCTTGAGATGACATATGTTGTTAATTGCAGCTATATAAATATACTGAATTAAATGTATAAAGAGAGGATGATCTAACACTAAATCCATTAAACAGAGAGAAATTCAATGTTACAAATGTAACAGCTCACTGTCTTGTTATTCCTTAATTTAGCACCTTAAAAGCTAGACTTTTATTTATTTTGATTTAGAGCACTATGACTCTTTATTTTACATCTCCTGGTTGCTCAAAGCTGACAAAATAATTTAAAATTAAATTATAAGTGAACTCTGGGCATTTTTGTGACCGTATATCTCTATAGGTCCTTATATTTAATATCTACATTGAAGGACAAATGCACCATGATTTCAGTATGTGGTCATAACAGGGTTTCTTTAGGTAATAAATAGAATTAGACAGCATTAAAAAGGTTATAAAATAAAGGAATATATGATTGCAGATATATTCAAAACAACAATGTTTTTTTCTTTTAGTTGTTGTGATTTTTTTTATCTGCATTATATCTGGCACAGGTAACCTTCATTTCCTCCCTTTTGTTGTTTTTTTTAATCATTGAAGTTTTGGTTCTTACTGAATTCTTACTGATTCTTTTATTTATTTATTTTCGTGTAGAGGCCAACTGACCTGAAACCATTTGGCACCACTCTTTGAAACCTGGGTGCCAAACAGGCCGATAATGAAATAATTTATTCCAGACAGTTGAATGGACTGTGAAGCACATTTGTCTTAAAGCTCTGCTCTTTGTTTTGCTCATCATGTTTGTTTTTACCAATTAATCAGTTTGAATATTCACAACAAATACCATCTAACAACCTCATCAACTAATGTCACCAAAGCATTAATGCAGAACTTTTGTTTTTGCCTTAAGGGACTAACACTAATTACACAAATGTCTCCAATAAAACCCTCCATGGTCATACGTGTTTATCACCCATTACTGGCTGTCTTAATTTGTTCTCTGAACAAAGCTGTTCTCTGAAACCATGGTTTCTCCAAGTTGAATACTCTAGCTCTGGCAATCATAAAACACATCCCTGCCTCTGCTGGGAGTTTCACCACAGGTTCCAGGTTTGGCACTCCTGTGCGTTGAGATAGTTGGCTGCCAATGATGGGATTATTCAGCTTTGGATCGACCTTTGGCAGCAGCCTACATGTAATTAATGCTGACTTTAAAATCCTGGTGACAGTTGTGTCTTTGAAGAAATGTGTGTGGGATCATCATAAAATGGAATAAAGCTAGATGGAGGAGGCTTTGCTTTTGGGGTGTCTGTTCATCCATTCCAATTTTATGAGTGTAATATCCCAGGAATGCAATCGTGGAATTTTTTTCATATTCAGCTCAGTTTTCATTTAAACTTGTTGTTGAACAAAAAGGTCATCGTGACCTTAGTTAATATATTTATAGCTGTGATTGAATAATTCATACTCTGATTATGATGTTTCTCAGTAATGGACTATTCTTCATCCTGGAACCTTAACTAAATATATTAGAAAAACTTCAACTTTAAAGGCAACTCATTATTTATGCTTATTATTATCTGATCCTTACAGTAACTTTATGAAAGTAGTTTTGCATTTTTAGTTGTTTTAATTTCTCTTAATAGTAATAATAAGTCGTTAGAGACAGTTTTTCTTCTTTGTTGTTTTAAAAGCTTTGTCTCTGAAAGGTCAGATAGTTTTTTTTTTTTTTTTTTTTTTATTCAAACACAAGCCAAAATGGGCAAAGCCGACCACTTCAGGGCAGCCCAATGTCCCAATGCTTCTGTGCTTAGAATTTATTAGCAAATGTCACCTTGGAAAAGCAAAGCTCTCATCCAGCCATTCTTTTTCCTTAATATCTGTGTTTTAGATGTGTGACATAATTCTGTGCCTTATAGCGTGTTTTAAATGGAGATTACTTTATGTTTACGGATATTAATAGAGTAGTATTTTTTGCAGTTCTTCTGTTGTTGTATTGATCATCCAATTGTTTGTTAGTTGGGGCATAGAAAGACTCCATCTATAAGGTTGTTAACACATTAGCGCATTTTATCACATTAATGTGATAAAAATGTCAATCAAATGTCAATTAAAGAATCAATTCTTGATAAATATCTTTGTTGTGAGATAAAAATCTTTGTTTTTTTTTCTACAATAGCTACTGTGGCTTTCCTAACAACTTTTTAAAACAAGTTTAAATATAGTATTTTGTTATGTATTCTTCTATAAA